TCCTGCGTGTGTGCCCCCCGCGCGCCCCTGCACGCTCCACGCCCCGTCTCAGCTGCACGCTTGGTGCGTGGCCTTTGCACGCCCTCCGTGCACGCTCCTTCCACGTGCTGCATGCGCACCCTCTGCAAGCACTGCACACGCTCTTTGCACACTCGCTGCATGCTCCGTGCACGCCCTGCGCAAAGGCTGCACGCGTGCTCTCTTTGCACACTCTGCGCGTGCCCGCTTGCAAGCTACACGTATGCTCTTGTCTCGCGCTCTGTGCATGGCCTGCCCGCGTGCTCTCTGCACACTCTCTGCAAACTCCACATGCACGCTCCCTCCGCGAGCTCTGTGCACGCTCAGCACGGGCTCCCTTTGCACACACGTGCTCTCTGCACGCTCCACGTGTAGTCGGGGAGCGCTCCCGGTGCTGGCACACTCTCTCACAAGTGGCATGCACGGTTGTATCTGCACACTCCCTGCACGCTCCCTGCACACTCCATGCACGCTCCCTGCATGCTCCATGCACGCTCCCTGCACACTCCCTGCACACTCCCTGCACACGCCTTGCACGCTTTCTCCACGTTCTCCGTGTGCATGCTTTCCCCACGATCCACGCAGCCCTAGCTGCACGCCCTGCGCGTGCTCTCGCCGTGCTCTGTGCGAGGTCCCTCCCTGCGCCCCCCATGCTCCCTCCCGCACGCCGTGTCCAGGCTCGCTCTGCACACTGCACGCACGCTGTCGCCGCACACCCTCGTGCACATCTTCTTGCACCCTCTGTGCACGCTCCCTCCGCGCGCTCCAGGCATGCTCTGTCCACAAGTCCTCTTGCACGCTCGGTGCATGATCCGTCTGCATGCTCGGCGCGTGCTCTCTCCACACATCCCGTGCACGGTCTCTCTGCACGCTCTCTGCATGGTACCCCTGCACACGCTGCGCACGCTCGCTCTCCATGCTGCACTTGTGCCCTCTTGCTCGCTCTGTGCACGCTGTCCGCATGCTCCCACTGCACCCTCTGTGCATGCTCTCTGCACGTTCTGTACAAGTCCTCTTGCACGCTCTGTGCATGCTGCATGCGTGCCCTCTTGCATGCTCCATAAGTGCTCTGTCTCCACACTGCATGCACACTCCTGCTGCACGCACTCTCTGCATGCTCCATGCACGCTCCGTGCATGCTTTCTCTGTGCCCTGTGTGCACGCTCACTCCCAACGCTTTCTGCACGCTCCGTGGATGCCCTCTTGCACACTCTGTGCACGCTCTCTCTGCACTCTGCACGCACGCTCTCTCTGCACGCTCCATGCATGCCCTCTTGCACGCTCCATAAGTGCTCTCTCTGCACACTCCATGCACCTTCTCTCTGCACGCTCCGTGCATGCCCTCTTGCACGCTCGCTCCCGCACGCTCCCGGCGAGCACGCGTGCTTTCTGCACGCTCCCTGCATGCTCATCCCGGCGAGCAAGCCATTAAAGCGACGCCCCAGGAAGGCGGGGGACGGAAGAGGGGAGCTCCGGGTGGGATCAATAGCAAATTAGTGACTTTACGCCCAGCTGAACGATGCCCGGAGGCGGGAGTGGGGCCGTGAGGGTGTCCCCGCTCGCTCGCCGCCACCGAAGCACGCACATGTCCCCCCCACTCAGGCACTGATCTCCACGGCGTTGGCCTCCTCCTGCTCCC